CTCCAGGGATCGGGCCTAAGCCGGCAGTCAGACATCTCTCTTGCAGTTTGGGGCTCTCACAGTCTGGGACTCCTCGCTCCTTACCGCCCACCTGCAGCGGAGGCGGTGGGAGAGGCTCCCGCCACTGTCGCTGCGCTCGCCAGCTGTGAGTTTGGCTTCTGGTTGAGTGGCGCTCCCCCTGTGGGAGTGCACTGAACACCAGGAGGCAGCTCCTGTGTTGAGCGTCTGCCCCCTGGTGGTCAGTGCACATCATAGCGACCAATCGTTCTGTCGGTTGTTCCCCTGTTCAGTTGATTTACATATTAGGGTTTTATTATATAGGATTCTATAACAGGGTGTCCTTTTAAGAGTTTCCAATTATGCCCTAGTTTCTAATATGATGCCCTGAGTATACTGTTAAGATTAAGTAAAGTTTCATAAAAGATAAACTGCCCTACTTCAGAATGAATGCATTCATGGATCTGGCAATTATTAAGGAGTGCTCATGAAGTATGCTAGCCCGTGTTAGGCCCTGAAAGCATTTGCTAACAAGTTTGACATCTGCCTGTCTGTCCCCCTCTGGCTGCCTAGAAGGTGGGTAAGGTGGATGCAACCTGAGGAGGCATCCTTTGTTCTGAGGACAGAAGGTGCATTGTGGAGCAGAAAGATACAGGAACTATAGGCGATGCCACACCAGCTCTGTATCGCTTATCTCCAGAGTTCCTTTACAGAAAAGAAAACTAAACTTTTATCTTGTTCAAGCCGCTATTATTTCTGGGCTCTGTTACTAGCTGCCAAATGCAAATCTTAACTGATAGAGAAGTCCTTGCGGATTTTTGAGCAAGGCACCGATTCTGATTGGTAGCTCTGCAAGCGACAGATTCCGGGAGTGGGTGTTCCGGGGCAGACAAAGAGATGGAAGTTGGCTTGGCAGGTGGGGACAGATAGGGCTGGGAGACTCTGAATGGGGAGAATACACATCTTGCCCAGGGTCATTGAGTCGGGGTTTTTTCCCAGGACACCTCTGCTAACCTCCTATTATACAGTGGTTACTTAAATATGTAGTTTTTGAGTAATTTGCATTCTGCTATTGTCAAGTGGCATGAAAGCTAGGGAAATTGAGGAGATGGATACTCTTTGTGTCTTAAAAAAAGAAGCAGGCAAAAGCTGGAATACGGAAAGAGTATCAGTGTTACCGTAAAGTGGTTTTATGTGTTCTGAGCTCCTGCAGACATTTTCAAGGAAAGGAACTTTTGTTACGCGCATGATCGTCTAATCAAGATACATTTGAAATGTATCCTTTACTGGATAGCAACTGTAAATAATATTTTAAAAATATGTCTTGGGGGCAGAACGGGGGCGGGGAGTGCATTTGGCCTCGGCGCAAGAGGATTGTGCACCCAGGGCTGCCAGGAAATTCCCTCCAACTTCGGAGGCTGCCCTTATTTACCTCGGGCTTACAGAGGGAGAAACTGAGGCGCACAGCACATCCGGTGTTGCCCAGAGGCGGAGCAGCGGAATCCCAGGCCCCGGCACCCGAGAAGCAGGACCCCTGAGCTGAATGTCCTTGCGTGGGGCGGGAGCTGGTCATTCACTTGCACCTTAGTTCATTTATTTTCATTGATTCATTCAAGCAGCATCTGTGGAACACGAACCTGGTTCCTGGTACGCGGGTTGCCTGGGGAACCGCTGGCAAGGGGACAAGTTCCCCGCCACCCTCACAGGGCTCAGTCCGCTGAGGCTGTGGGAATGTGCAGCCCTTTGGCTGTTTCTAATCGTGGTAATTTAATGTAATAACCCTGATTAGGCCCCTACCGAGTGCCACACGCTGTGCTAACCACTTTATCAAGACAACTCGAAAGGCAGAGCTGTCCCATTTTACAGATGAGGAAACTGAGGCTCCGCAGGGCAGAAGTCCCTCGGCTGGCTTGTGCTGGCGGCAGGATTTGAGGCCAGGCCTGGGAACATCCAGGCGCCAGTTAGTGCAGTGATTTCCATTTGTCCACCTAAGAAGGGGGTCCAGTGAGAGGACCCCTGCGTGACTAGCTGGGGCCCCCAAGAGGTTGGGGGTGGGTCTTTCAAGACCTCTGTGGCCCAAGTCCCCTGGGCCACTCCTCTGGCTTGGAAGGCAGGAGGGGGCAGGTGAAGCCCCTCATTCTGGGACTGGGGGGCTTGTCGGCTGGGACTGTCTTGTCTCTGGGAGGATGGAGGACCCAGCTCACAGGCCAGCTGGCTAGGCTCTCCTTACTCCCTCCAGGGCAGCCTGGCTGCTTGGTCTCTTCCCTGCTTCCGATGCACTGCGCTGTTTCCCATCTCGGGAACTTGGTCCCTGCTGTGCCCTCCAGCTAAACATTCTTCCACTTCCTCTTTCAGGTCTCAGCTCGCCTGTCCTTCCTCAGGAGGGCCCTCCCTGATGTCCACCCAAGAATGGTTCCCTTTTTCACCCCCCCGCCCCTGTGCACTGTGAAATTGTACTTTTTGGTCTGTCTCTTCCCCAGGAGTGGGTCCGTTTCATTCATTGCCACGTCTGCAGGACAGCGCCTGGCACACAGGTGCTGAGTACATGTATGCTGAATGAATGAATGAATGAATGAATGAATGAATGAATGATTAGCCTGCAGAGCTCCAGGCCTGGCCCAGCTGCATCCTTGCCCAGAGGCCAGGCCCAGGTGATGAGCTGGCGGTTGAGCAGGAGTCGGGGATAGAGAGGCAGAGGGGAGCCCGGCTGCAGGCCAGCTGCCCTGGAGGCCAGAGCCAAGTGTCTCAAATGGCTCCTGCTCCTCAGCCTGTCCAGTGCTGCCCCGTCAGCCATGCCTGGGAGCCCAGAGCAGAAGGAAGGAAGCAGGTTCTTCCCACAGACCCAGTTCCAGTGGCCTCTGTGGTCCCACCTGAAGTTGGCAAAGACCTCATTCATGTGAGGATGTGGGAGGGGCAGGCTGGGAGCCCCAGACCCAGGCCTGGCCAAGTGATTATGGAGGAGGTGGGGATACTTTTAGGGAAAAGATTCTGGGAGAAAAAAATGGTGAGGTGGAATGTAACATGGCATAGAAGTTGAGAAAAAAAAAGTGTATATATCTATACTAATAAAAGGGTAATATGCTAATTAGGACGGATGTCTTCTAGACGTCCATCTGGACAAAGCCACAGTGGCTGCTAGGCCCGGGGCTCAGGCTTCACAGCTGCCACAGCTGGCAGTGATAGCAGCAGCAGGGTGATGGAGGCGGCACCTTCCCCTGATCAGCCTGGTCACCTCCCACAGAGGGAGGCCAGACTGCAGCTTAGGCCATCCCCTGAGGGCTCCTGCACTGGGCCTTTAGCACACACACACACACACACACACACATACACACACACACACACACACATTCCAATATATATAACTTGCAGGGTAAAGATAATATCATATGCTAAACATTTCTAAAAGGGGAAAAATCTATTTTATTAGTTTATGCTAAGTTTCATGTGATCACATTGAATAATAGCTGTCTCTTTGTAGTGAATTTTTCATCTTGATGTTGGGCAGGTAATTTCACTCCTCTTATATTAGAAGATGTTTAATTAGTATTTACATGGATTATAAAAATATAACATAACATAGCTTTCCTCTGAACTAGATGTGCTAACTCAATATCCAACTCTCTGTTTCAAAAAAAAAAAATGGGTTGGCCATTCCAAAGTTTCTTACAAATCTGGCTCAAACAGGTAATTAGAAGCTTTAACACAACTACAAATTTCAAGGTCCCTTAAGGCAGTGGCCTTCAGCCGTTCTCCCCTGCATGGGGAAGGGCAGATGTGCGCAGTGTGACCTGAAAATTCTCACTTATTAACTATGTCTCTCCCACTTCCCCTCATTTGGAAAAAATACACTAGAATGCAAGTGACTGAATATTACTAGTAGGTTATAATCTGGACTGTCTGTTGCAACTTTCCGTACTGTTTCTATCAACTCCATTTTAATAGTCACCTATGACTGTCCCTCGTTTATAATGGGAAGAAATATTAAAATGATTCAAAATTTTAGGTTTTTGATTTATACCTCCCTGAAGTGCCTGTTGCATTTTGCTATAGTCTGCACACAGGAAGCACACACACACACACACACACACACACACACACACCTAATAGTCTGGTAAGCAGATGTTCTCTCTCTCCATTTAATAAATAATAACATAGCCAATATTTATGGAGCAGTCAGTGTGTGCTAAGCCACTTATCTATGTTATTTCTTTTAATCCTACATTCTATTCCAGTGATGGCGAACCTATGACACGCGTTTGAGAGGTGACACGTGAACTCATTTTTTTTGGTTGATTTTTCTTTGTTAAATGGCATTTAAATATATAAAATAAATATCAAAAATATAAGTCTTTGTTTTACTATGGTTGCAAAGATCAAAAAATTTCTATATGTGACACGGCACCAGAGTTAAGTTAGGGTTTTTCAAAATGCTGACACGCCGAGCTCAAAAGGTTCGCCATCACTGGTTTAGAGGCTGTCCTGTTATTCTTGTAAATACTCTCAGTGAGAACAAGGCCAACTGGCTCAGTCTGACACTTGATCCAAAATTATTCTCTTTCCCTTTCTGCCAGATTGGAAGGCGGTATAGTGATTAAATATTTCTCGTCAGCAATATCTTGCCATTTATGGAAAAATGATACCCTCAAATCTTTAATAATTGTTTCATTAAGAACAGAAACAGAACAAAGCCCCTGCTAAACTTTGGAATGAGAACAGGAAAATCTCTTTACTTCTCTGCACCTCACTCTCCTCAGGCAAGATGCAAAGAATAGGATCACTTTCAAAGTAGCTTTGGGAAGAAGACAAAGAGTGGGTGCTACTTAGTTATAATTAGTAGACTGTGTGTGTGTGTGTGTGTGTGTGTGTGTGTGTGTGTGTGTGTGTCAGACTACAAATAACATTTTAAGGATAGAGAATCCCTTCTTTATGGTAAGAAAAACTTGGTAGGCCCAAGGAAGTTTATAAAAATATAAGCTTGCCTCTGAACCTCTGTTTGCTTTTAGCTCCCTGCAGATTAAGGAGTTTCTCAAAGTCCACCTTCTTGCAAGGTAGGTGAGAAGGCCTGCTCAAAAGTTTTATATTTGCTAAATTTGTTTGTGTTGGTTTCCTATTTCCTCCATTATTTGCCTGGGAGGGGTGACCCAACTTACTTTGGGGAAGGTTTCAGGGGTGGGCAAACTTTTTGACTGAGGGCCACAATGGGTTCTTAAACTGGACCGGAGGGCCGGAACAAAAGCATGGATGGAGTGTTTGTGTGAACTAATATAAATTCAAAGTAAACATCATTACATAAAAGGGTACGGTCTTTTTTTTTTTTTAGTTATATTCATTTCAAACTGGCCGGATCCGGCCTGCAGGCCGTAGTTTGCCCACGGCTGTTGTAGGTAGATAGGAGCCAAGTGATGTTTGCTAATTTGTTTATTTAGTGAGGGGCTTTCATTAAAAAGGTCATCTCCTTTGTGCAGTTAAAGAGCTCCCAGGGGAGTTTTCTCACTTATCTGTTTTGCTGTTTTGGAGGTAATTCTGTAAAGAACAGTTGAGCCTTAGGTCTTCTTTTCAGGCCCTGGAAAGTCTTGTTGCTCTTTGGGTGGGCACCCACAGCTGCGATGGGAGTGGGGTGGATGGGAGGAAGGTGGATCTGCCTAGTTGAAATCAAAGGCCATCTTCCCCAATGGGACATTGCAGATGTCTCCTTCAGCTGAGCCAGAACAAGCTTGAAGGTTGGGTCATTATTATGGTATAGGATGCCTGGTTTAACCTCTAAGTTTATGAAGGACACTAATAACTTCCTTCAGGTAGTTGTCATGACCAACTGCTTTATAAATATACTAGAGGCCCGGTATATGAAATTCGTGCATGGGTATGGTCCCTAGGCCTGGCTGGCGATAAGGGCCAATCAGGGCCTTCCAGCTGCAGGCTGGGGCCTCCCTTCCCCTGCTGCTGGCTGCTGGCTGGGGCCTTCCTTCATTCTGCACTGCCCCCTGGTGGTCATCGCACATCATAGCAAGCAATTGGTCTCCCGGTCGAACTCCTGTGGGGACAATTTGCATATTAGGCTTTTATATATAGATAGATTATTATAATGTATGAAATGGTGGCTAATGGGAGTGCTACAAAATGTTAGTTATTACTAATAGGAGTGCAAGTCCAATATTATGTCTAATTGGAGGAAGCTGATTGATACACGTGTGGCAACTTTTCAAAATATGTCCTTTCCCTCCCTGTTCACTGATATTTCTCAGCATCCATTCCCATCACTCCCAGTTCTCTCTCAATTTGCATAGTGTATTAATATAAACACATTCTCCCATTTAGCTTTAGCAGATGGAACATTGTATTTGCTTTCCTTGGTTGTTCTGTTCTGTGTGGAGTGCACACTGACTACACATGAGTCTTTACTTTGAGAACACTGAGAACAATTCAAAGCCAAGGGCATGTTGTAACACTCTTTAGTAATCTGATGTAACATGGCCCATGTTGGGAATAATAGGTATGTTTTCTTCAGGGCTGGTGTGTTAGACCTGTTTCTGAGGGCAGTGCCTCATTCCAGAGCACAATACATCTTAATCGAATGAGAACCAGACCATGTTGGGTATGGTGCAACTGCATTAGTGCCTGGCATAATCTGTAGCCATCCGGCCGAGTCATTAAGATAGCTAAAGTAACTGTGAGAACAATGGCTCTCACACCTGGTGTGAGAAAGAATTGCCTAATGTAATTTTGAGGATGCACGTTTGCACAAGGTTCAGGCAAATATCTCCCCGGGGAGGAGTTCTGTATCAGTCATTTTTCCTTTTTTCTTTCCCTCCTTCCTTCCAATAAAAATGTATTGCGTGACTACTGTGTGCTAAGTATTAGGTATGAAAACATTATTCCTGCCCTCAAGGAGCTCAGAGGTGTGTGTGTGTGTGTGTGTGAGAGAGAGAGAGAGAGAGAGAGAGAGAGAGAGAGAGATCAGTACAATGAGTTACAAACAATGAAATAGGTTTGAACAACCTCTGTGAGAGTATACGTGGGAAAGGACAGTTCTGGGGAGGCTTTGCTGAGGAGAAGTGATTTTAAGCATTGAAAGATAAATAGGAATTTGCCCGGCCCCCAACCAACCAACAAAAAAGTAGAATATGGGCCGTCCACGTGGTTGAACAGAGCCCCGGAAGGCGCTAGTTGAGGTCTGGAGGCACACAATTGAGGAAGGTGGTGTATGGTCATTGTTACCGGTACCTGGATGCATGTGCCACAGAATTGGACATTTTGTGGATGTGCTCCTGAGTTTTCTCAGTGGCTACGGTAACCATCTGCTAATATCTGCCTTTTGTAGGCTAACGTTATTTTTGGTCTACTTTACAGTGTGGAATTTTGGAGGATCAGTAGAGCTCTTATGAGTCAATTCTCTGTTCATGAGTGAAATTCTGAACCCTTGAGTCCACTACCCGTTGCCTACTGCCACTCAATGGTAAGTATGCAGAGAGTATACTCCAGGCAGAATCACTTTGTATCATTTGGGTTTCTTGTTCTGGTAACTAATGCGGGGTTTTAAGAGTGACACCAATTCCTTTTGCCTAGACTGGAAATACTAAATGTCTCCCCCTGTCACTTTTCTCCACTGCTTTAGGCTGTTTCCTATTGACTGCCTACCACAGAGCCCTCCCAATAAATGAAAACATCTGATTATGGGTTTGAAAGGATGCACAGACGGACAGTGCAAGAAGTAAGAGGTCTAAGTTAGGAAAAGCCAAGATGGAGTGAGTCACGTGGAAAGAGCAGCCAAAGGGTTCTCATGGCTCCCAGGTATCCTCTTACCTCAGTGTCACCATTGCACTCAGTCATTGGTCAGGAGCAGCCTTGGGAAGCGTGGCTTTAACCCAGACTGGGTGATGGGTCGCCGGTGACTTTGGTTTGAGGACTCCCCTGTGGCCTTGCGGAGTTTTCTTTAGAACTGCACTGCAGTCTAAGGCCGTTTCCCTCTGTCTCCCTCCCTTCCCGTTCTCTTTCACTCAGGGTCAGACCTCCATGGTGGTCTGACAGTTCTCCCAACCTCTCCTCATTTCCTCTACATTTTCCCTAATAACTTGTCCCTAATACATTTCTTATATATCTCTAATTTCATCTGGGTGGCTGTTTCTTGGAGGGCCCGGAATAATATTGGGTGGATACCATATGATTTCACGCATATGTGGAATCTGATGAACAAAATGAACTAACAAACAAAATAGAAACAGACTCCTATAAAGAACAGGTTGACAGCTGTCAGAGGGGAGGGGGGTTGCAGGGCTGGGTAATAAAGGTACAGGGATTAAGCAAAAACAAAAAACAACAACTCATAGACACAGATAATACTATGGTGATTACCAGAGGGAAAGGGGGTAGGGGGAGGTAAAAGAGGGTAAAGGGGGGATAAATGGTGGTGAAAGGAGACTTGATTTTGGGTGGTGAATACACAAAACAATATACAGGTGATGTATATACATTTTTATTGGAAGGAAGGAGGGAAGGAAAAAAGGAAAAATTATAGAATTGTACACCTGAAGGGTATATAATTTTATTGACCAATGTTACCCCAATAAATTCAGTAAAACGTGTTGGATGAAAGGGCAAAGAAATGTGTTGTTGTTGTTGTTGTTTTTGTTCTAAACATTTTAATACATACTGAGATTCAAATGTAAGAAAATGTAGTACTTGGATCAAAAGAACAATTAAAAAAAGAAGAGAAAGGTAACAAAAAATGTACCAAGCAAATACATCAATAGAAAGCGTTTGAACAATACTAAAGTTAGATAAAATAGGGACAATCGGGAATGAAATACAAGAGGAGAACAATTTTAAGTACATGTTTGAAGAAATATGAGGGGGGGGGGCGTGAAATAAGAAAAATGCAATTTTATGTAGTATCACACCACCCCCTCTTCAATGGGAGTAGCCTCACTTGTCAACCAACCTGGTTGAATCTCAGTCTTGGGCTACTCCTTTAGCTTACTAACTCACTCTTAAACGACAGAAATCCTTTCTCCCAGTGTCAATTCGATAATTAACACTATCCAGTTTAATGTTTACCCCAAACTCCATCTTCATTTAAGGGAAAAGCTGCTCCTTACCTACCAGCTGGAACAAGAACCATCCTGTGGCCTTTGCTTTATTCTATTTGTCAAAGCAAGTTGCATGACTGACTCCAAAGTTAATATTCAAGGAAGTACACTTATTCCTGAGTGAGGAGCACTGCAAAGGTACATGATGAAGGGTGTAGATAGAGGGAGGAACAAAAGTCAGGGTCAGTAGTTCACTCTTCCATAGTACCAAAGGGAAAGCCTAATTAGCTATGCTTGGTCATGTGTTCATCCCTGACCATTCCTTGTGGGCTGGGTGGGGACATGGCAGTATGACTGGCAGCTATAATAGGACCATGTGCTTGAAGAGGGTCAGAATTGCTGCTCCCCGAAAGAACGAGATGCTGACCCTGGAAGAAAGGAGGCATGCTGGACAAACAAAACAAGCACTATTCATACCACACCCTCCAGCCTATCTCCCCAGTCTCTGTAATCATTCTTTCAATAGGTACTACTAATACCTTCTTTTTACAGTTGAGAAAATTGAGGTTATGTAACTTGTTCAAGATAACACATCTTGAGTGATGGAGATTTTTGGATTAAAAAATATAGGGGCAAGCCCTAATTGGTTTGGCTCAGTGGATAGAGTGTCGGCCTGCGGACTTAAGGGTCCCAGGTTTGATTCCGGACAAGAGCATATACCTTGGTTGTGGGCACATCCCCAGTAGTGAGTGTGCAGGAGACAGCTGAATTGATGTTTCTCTCTCATCAGTGTTTATAACTCTCTATCCCTCTCCCTTCCTCTCTGTAAAAAATCAATAAAATATATTAACAAAAATATATATATATATAAGGGCAAGATGTTTTCCAATAGCGTGGGTCAACTGCCTCCTCCCCTATGTACCCCCCTCCATCCCCCCAGGCAGAAACCACCTGGATAGCAAAGATCTGCTTGAGAAAGGTGACCTCCCTAGCGTGAGGGAATGACTCAGCACAGGAAACTGGGGTGTCTGCCTTTTGAGCTCTAACCCCAGAGCCCCTAACCCTGGCTCTGTTCACATAGCTCCAGTCCACTCTGCCCTCTCTCTGCCAGAGCCCAAGGTGAGTGGCTGCACATGAAGTTTTGTGCATTGGTCCTTTAAGAGGGTGCTGGCATTTCCAGCCATCTTTTCCTGGCAGACAGCAGCCCTGCTGCTTTTCACAGCCAGAAGTTATGTGGGCACCTTTCTCAGTTCTGATCATCTCTGCTGGGGAGGGAGGGAAGGGGTAGCTTAGGGATTAGACCCTAGAGTTCTCAGTGGCAAACCCCCACAGCTGAGATATCTCTCCAGAATTTCATCTGCTGTCGGTGGGAGCCTGGCCAGCCCTTTCATGCCTCTGCCCTTCCTACCAGTCTTTACACCAGTGATTCCCAACGTGGGGCACATGCCCCACAAGGGGGCAATTTGATTTTTAAGAGGGGCAATTGGAGAATGAGTTATTACCAGTGAATTTTTTGCATTTCTTATGGTTCTAGGGGCCTCATATACAGTATCTATATACTGTAGGTCCTCGAGTTACGTCGGAGATCCTTTCCTATGGTGTGATGTAACGCGATTTTCGCCATAAGTTGGAACCCACCTACATAAGCACCTACATCACTCACATGGAGCACATACACAACAGTAATGAAGTGAAACAGTAAAATAAATGTAAAAGAAAGATAATTCCTGACTGTTACTTGTGGTGAATAAATAATAAAAAAAACATAAAGCACATATGTACATATGTTGAAATGATGGAACTTTTTTTTTTATAAATACTATAAATGGGAGATGGCGACGTAACCGCGAAATTATGTAAGTCCAGTCCAACATAACCCGAGGACTGCGTGTATATAAAAGGCTAAGTTGCCCTAACCGGTTTGGCTCAGTGGATAGAGCGTCGGCCTGCGGACTGAAGGGTCCCGGGTTCAATTCAGGTCAAGGGCACGTACCTTGGTTGCGGGCACACCCCTGGTATGTGTTCAGGAGGCAGCTGATCGATGTTTCTCTCTTATCGATGTTTCTAACTCTCACTCTCCCTTCCTCTCTGTAAAAAAATATCAATAAAATATATATATTTTTTAAAAAGGCTAAGTGACTGGCCACACTGACCACCAGGGCACAGATGCTCAACGCAGGAGCTGCTGAGCTGCAGTGACTTGGCAGTGGCGGTTCTTGGGTGACGCACCCCAGAACCAGGGAGGAGGGAGCCCTATTCCTCACAGGACTGCAAGATTCTACCTTCAGCCATTGGTTATGCTGTTGCTGGGGCACTGTTGGCCCCGAATCTGGTTTACTGCACACTTGCGTTTGTGTTCCACACTCTGTACGACAGCAACTTTGCAGAGTGCCCTCTCGCACTCTGGGACCCCTTGGGGGATGTTGGAGAGCCAGTTTCAGCCGACCCCCGCAGGCCAGGCCAAGGGACCCCACCTGCCAGAGGGACTCTGCTCACTCCGCAGACGCCCTTTGAACCTCGGCACCGCCCCAGGTGTGGCCGGCCAGGGAGGGACCACGAGAGATTGGCTCCAGGGCATGTCCAGCCCTTCTCGCCCAGTCCTGCCCTGCCAGCCATCTTCTAATTAATTTCCTTTTAATGTGCATGAATCCGTGCACCGGGTCACTAGGGTAAATATACATCGTGCCATATTTATGCATTTCAGTTCTCTATTATATGTTTTGAAACTTTATTTGCTTTTTTTCATATCACTTCATATTGTTATTTTTTTAAAACAATTCCTTAGTGATTTCTTCCTCAGTACTTCAACTGTCCTTTTGTTCTTTTATTTTTCTCTTTCATGGATGCCATGTTCTTTGGAAGCTTGTTTAGACCAAGTTAATGGCCTGTTAGGCTTCCCCCACGTGAATAGGAGTTCACTTTTTGAATAATAAGAATTATATGTCACAGGGCGGGCATCAGGATTTTAGAGATGCTTAGGTGGGGCGTGGCCAAAAAAAGGTTGGGAACCACGGCTCTACACAGTCTCCACTTTCCGTCCTTGGTTACCAGAGTTCTCTCCAGCTAGCCTTCAGTTGATTATTCAGGATTTTTGTTGTTGTTGTAATTCTAGTTTGGTCCTGGGCTCAACATCTGTGTAGCATCCACTCACTCTGCTGCCATTTTTAATCTTCCCTCTTGTGTGCATTCCGAGAACAGCAACCTAGAAAGGGATTAGTTGCAATAGTGTCCTCTTTAAAATATATACAGATTTATCAATTAACCAAAACTACTGTAATCAAGAGAGTTGTATTTATTGAAAGGATAGGCACAAAGATCAATGGAACAGAATACAGAGTTCAGAAGTATATCCACTCATGTACTGTCAATCAAGTTTTGACAAAAGTGCAAAACCAATTCAATGTAGGAAGAATAGTCCTTTCAGTAAGTGGTGTTGGAACCAAAAGAAAACAAAAAAAAGAAAAGAAAAATAACCTTAGCCTAGACCTTTCATCTTATGCAAAAATCACCTCAAAATGGTTCATAGAACTAAGTGCAAAGTGTAAAACTAGAAGCTTCTAGGAAACATTCTTTGTGACTTTGAATGAGGGAATTTTTAGATATGACACTGAAAGCATTATCCATGAAAGAAAACAAGCATAAATTATACTTCATCAAAATTTAAAACTTTTGCAGCATCGAACAGACTGTCAAACTACAGTGGGAAGGCTGGGGAGGGTTAGGGGGCGGAAGGGGGGGGTAAGAGATCAATCGAAGGACTTGTATGCATGCATATAAGCATAACCAATGGACATAAGACACTGGGGGGTAGGGGAGGCTGGGGGAATGTCAAGGGGGGTGGGGGTGGAAAGGAGACATATGTAATACTCTGTATAATACTTTAAGCAATAAGACAAAATTAAAAAAAAATTTAAAACTTTTCCTGTTAAGAGGATGAAAAGACAAACCACAGAGTAAGAGAAATATTTTCAAGTCACATAACTGATAGACTTATATGCAAAATTTGTAAGAGCTTTCAAAACTTATTAGTAAGAAAACAAACAACTCAATTAAAAATGGGCAAAAGATTTTGAACAGATACTTCATGAAAGAAGATATATGGATGACACATACGCCCATAAAAATATGTTTAACATCGTTAGTAATTAGGAATTGCAAATTCAAACGACAATGAGATAATACCACACACCTATTAGAACGGCTAAAAACCCAACCCAAGTCAAACTACAACAAAACATAAAACTAACATGAAATGCTGACAAGGCTGTAGAGCAGCTGGAACTCTCATACATTGCTGGTAGGAATGCAAAATGGTACAGCCCTTTTGGAAAAGAGTTTAGCAGTTTCTCATAAAGATAAATATGCACTTGTCATATGACACAGTAATCCTAGATGTTTGCCCCAAAGAAATATAAACTTAAATTCACACACACACACACACACACACACACACACACACACACAAAACTGTACATGAATGTCTATTGCAGCTTTATTCATAATCACTGAAACCTGGAAACATAAATATCCATCAGCAATTGAATGGATAAGCTGTGGCATAGCCATACAATGAAGTAAAATAAAAAGGGAAAAACTATTGATACACCCAGCAGTTGGGTGAATCTGAAGTGCATTTTGATCAGTCAAAGAAGCCAAACCCAAAAGACTACAAATCATATGATTCCATTTATATGTTGTTCTCAGAAAGGCAAAAGTAAGGGGATGGAGACCAGATCAACTAGTGGTTGCCAGTAGCTTGGGATGAGGAGACGTGTTAATTACACACAGGCAACGCCAGGGAATTATTTGAGCTGATGTAACTCTTTGTATCTTGATGGTGCTGGTGGCACCATACTGCTGCTTCACTTCCTAGTCAAGAAAAGAGAAAAGATGCACACATTTTTACCAGTCTAGGGAGCTAATAGCGAAATATCGTCATTTCTGCTTTCCTAAATTAAAATAATCACATCTACAAGTTGGTTTCTCTATAAGGGCTTTTGACAGGGCACCTGTTGGAAATTCCGGAGTCGTTGACAAGCTTAGGTGCCTAAAAAAGTTCCATCATCGATAAAATTGTGGCATGCGGAATAATGGCTCCCCAAAGATGTCTACATCCTACTTACTGGTACCTGTAACTATGTTGCCTTGAGTGGCTTTTTACATATGTGATTTTATGAACATTGAGGTGGGGAGAATATTTTGAATTATGCAGGTGGGCTCAATCTAATTAAAAAAATTCTTAAAAGCAAAAGCAGAGAACCTTTGCAGCTGTGGTCAGAGGAAGACACAGGTATGGAAGAATGGTCCCTTCCTCTCCCCAACCCCTGTTTGGTCTTTCTCCATAGTACTTATATCACTGTGTCATAGGCGGAATGCTGGCTCCTCAAAGATGTAAACATCCTAATCCCCCGAATCTGTGAAGATGTTATGCTACCTGGCGAAGGGGAGCTCAGGTTGCAGGTGGAATTAAGTTTGCTCATTTGCTCACCTTCAAGTAGGAAGGTTATGATTTGGATTACCCCAGTGGATTCCAGGTAATCACAAGGGAACTGAAAAGTGGAAGAAAGCAGAAGAGGTCAGTGAAGTGATGAGAGGCTCACCTTACTCTTGCTGGCTGTGCAGATGGAGGCAGGGGACATGAGTCAAGGAGTGCAGGCGGCCTCTAGAAGATGGAAAAGGCCAGGAAAAGGACTCCCCTCTCGAGCCTTCAGCAAGGAAGCAACCTGGTCAACACCCTGACGTCAGTCCAGTGAGACCCATGTTGGACTTTTATCCCACAGGTATTGAGTTTGTATTGTTTCATGCCACCAAGTTTGTTACAGCAGCAATAGAAAACTAATACATAAGTAGAATGTATGATTTTTAAGCGTGAGGAGAAAGTACCAGGATTAGGGAACTGCTTGGTTTGCTGGGTCCTCAACCCTGGACTGTAGGCAGGTGACCTATTTATCCAATTTTCATAATCAGTCTCCTTGCCACAGGGATCAGTTCTGATCCTGGCAGGAAACGTGTGGGGGTGTTTATTAAGTATAACATTTACTGAGTTTTAAACCGCATTCCTGTTGCCCGTGCCCAGTATTCCTGAAAACATTTTCTCACTTGGCCTCCTCTTGTACAGGCGATGTGGCCTCATTTGAACCCAGTTTTATGTTGCGTCTGCCCCTCCCTTGAGATCCATGTTCCCCACATGCTTTCCCTTCACCAGATACCACCATAAACTGTGCTTTTCTAGATCCCATATTTGCTTCACCCTGACATAGGTTTTTCTTCCCTCCACTTCTTGCCTGCTTGAGATTTTGTTTTATGTCTGTGTGACAGAGGGGAAATGTATTAAAATGATGTACTGGCAATACCCCCTTCTTGTCTACAAGGAAGAATGAATGCTTTGTGCACTCAGCTCACTGGAGGGCCTTTGTTGAATTAAGCAGGGTATTGGCAGTGAGGAGAATAAAAATGCCACGAGGAGACCAAATTACTCTACCCACCGCAGAATGAGGCCGAGACTTGGAAGGACATTTTATAAGAAGATTGGAGAAAGGAGGAAGTGGAGGTGGGTGAACTCAGAGCTGTAGAACTTTTGAGGACAGAGAAAGAAACTCAAAGAATATTTAAGAGGAAGGCTTTCTATAGAATATGCAGTGTAAGAAACACCCGGCAAATGTTAGCTTTGCAGGAGATTGGATGCATGAATCGCTGAGGTTGGCCATAGGGCAAGAGTAGGATGACTCCAGCCGGAATAGTTTCAGGTGGTAATGATGAGGCAAATGGGAAGGGAGGATGCAAAGTGGTCTTTCCAGTAGCAGGTCCTTCAGCAGGCACGCTTGCTCAGCACTCGGGAAGAATTCTTCAGAAAGGTTGCAGGAAGAAGCGACACCTCATGGTAGCCCAAGAAAGAGAGAAAGAGGGCGTTTACCTGCCTGCTCCCTCCCATCTCCTTTCCCTTGGCCAAGGTTTATTCTGCAGAGCCAACTCCCCTGAACTCCCAGGCGGGGCCACTTGGCTGCTCTGTAGCCACTCAGGAAATTAATGTCACACCTCATGGCGTGTCCATTTCATTCAAGTCTGGAAGTGGGATGTGGCTCGAATGGGTGAGGCACTGACGAAAAGAAAGAACAGAAGGAGCAATAGAAGGAATCTGAGAAGGCTATAAATGTTTGTCTCTGTGATGAAGAAAAACTTTTATTTAAATCTTGCTCCGCCCAGCCAGTGTGACTCAGTAGTTGAGCATAGACCTATGAACTAAGAGGTCACCGGTTCGATTCCCTGCCTAGGTTGTGGGCTTGCTCCCCAATGTAGAGCGTGCAGGAAGCAGCCCATCAATGATTCTCTCTCATTGTTGATGTTTCCATCTCTCTCCCCTTCTCCCTTCTCTAAAATCAGTAATTTCTATATGTGACACGGCACCAGAGGTAAGTTAGGGTTTTTCAAAATGCTGATACGCCGAGCTCAAAAGGTTCACCATCACTGTAATAAATGATGCCCAAGAAATCTTATCATTAGACTTCCAAATTGTAATCATAGAAACCCAGTCCCACAAAGTAGCAGCTTCTATTATCTTGGTTTTTAAAAAATCAAGGTATTTAATTATCCAAGTAATACATACATATGTTTTACTAGATTAAAAAAAAAAAAGGCTCTACCCAGTTTGGCTCAGTGAATAGAGCATAGGCCTGTGGACTAAAGAGTCCTAGGTTGTATTCGGTCAAGGGCACATGCCCAGGTTGTGGGCTGGATCCCCAGTAGGGGGCGTGCAGGAGGCAGCCAATCAATGATTCTTTCTCATCATTGATGTTTCTATCTCTCCCTCTCTCTTCCTCTCTGAAATCAATAAAAAATAATAATAAAACAAAAAACTTTAAAAAAGAAACAAACACTGAACTTCTAGGTGAAGGGAATTGCATTAGTGTAATACCTGGCTTTTCGGTGCCCTTTCTTAACTCTGAACTAAGGAGGGCGTGATTTCATTGACAAATTTGGGGAAAATATAGTGGCATGCTCATGTCCCCTTTCCTCTGTGGACTCCAGCCAGTACAGGTCTGCTCTGGGGGCAGGCTGACGCTCCCACCCCTGTGAGGCAAGCTGACTTTGGACCCGAACTGTGGCATCTTATTCTGCAGCTTAGTGCTGGAAAGCTCTTCTGACTCTCCTATTAAGCTGCATCCTGCAACCCAGCTTTAGCAGAAATTAATGAATAATTTGGCCTTCTTCTGTTCCTTTATCTTATTAATTTTTTTTGCACCTAGAAAAGGAGGAAGGGTACTTTTTATTGGGTGTCCCTTCAAAGTTCCAACATTTGATGCATTTGGCCAGAAAATTAACATGTAAACAATCAGGAACACACTTAGAGAGAAGCAATGAATACACATGGAGTGATTGAGGCTTCTGGAGAGGCCAGGGATTGGCCTTGGCCCTGGGCCTTGATCTGTGTGCAGGACATTTCAATCTTGGCAGTTGGTGAAGGCTTATATTGGGCCAGGTGGGTTTTTATGTGCACTTGGCTTTTGAAGCAGTAGCCTGGGGGGAAAGACCTTGGAAAAGCCACTCAGAGGCAGTAAGAGGGCCTTGGCATGGGCACAGGGACCAAGAGCGGGTCTTAGAGTCCAGCAGGCCGAAGAAGACTTAACAAACAGAGCTGAGGCAAGGATTCAATTACAGGGAGAAAGAGACAGTCTTTTCATACACTTTCCCTTTAGATATTAAAGGAGTGCAAAAATATTTTCGGCTCTTAAATTGTGGGGCAGCTGGGCTCTCTCTGGGCCACAGAACGTTGGTGAGAGATTAGTCTTTGATGTACTAGTGCGAGGTCTAGGTGGTAATGTAAACAGACAGCTGATTTTTATTTCTCTTTTATGTTATTTTGAACTATCTTTAAGGGCAAAAGAGGGCGGGGTGGATAAACTAAGTTTGCTTTCATGTAGCTCAAGAGTCATTCTCTCTCTGTCCCTAAGGCTGTTAGAAAGTGGTTATTTAAATATGGTGGAGTGCTAGCCAGTTTGGCTCAGTGGATAGAGCAACAGCCTGCAGACCAAAGGGTCCTGGGTTCAATTCCGGACAAGGGCACATGCCTTGGTTGCAGGCTCCTCCCCGGCCTGGGCCCTGGTCGGGGTGTGTGCAGGAGGCAACCAATCTATGTGTTTCTCTCACATGGATAAATATCTCTGTCTTCTCTCTTCCACTCTCTCTAAAAATCAATGGAAAAATATCCTCGGGTGAGGATTAAAAAATAATAAACAAACAAACAAATAAATAAATAAGATAAAGAAATATTTCCCAGGTCATGGTTTTCTTAGGCCCGAGGAAGAGGCAGTGGGAAAAGCCATTGCAGCACAGGAGTCGACATGCTCAGTATTATTGTGGGTGCTCTGTTTGTAGAAGGAATTCACCTTCATTGCAATACCACTGTGCAGGCACCTAAAGTTCAAAGGGGACAGGAATTAAAAGGTTTTGAATATCTGGGTGAGAAAGAACAGCTCCTCAAATCAGGTCTGATAACTGAGGATGTTGCCAGTGCATGTTTCTAAACTTTGCAAGAAGGCAGCACCTCCCTCCTTGCTTTGCCTGAGAGAGGAGGCAGCACCCAGAGGCAGCGCTTCCTGGAAATGGTAAGGGCAAGGTGCCATCGTGCGGAAATTGGCCTGCAGCTAGGAGATTCCTCCTCACTGGGTGTTAATCCACAGGCCACAGGTTCTGGGCTCTTGCGTCCATCAGCTGGCATCGGGGTGAGGCTGCAGTCTCTACAATAGTCTTTGGCCACAGAGAGTACCGGTTTTGAATACATATTTGGCTTGAGATGCCTGCTAGGAATTGGCTTGTTTTCTGAATGCAGTGGCTGTAGGGCTAGTGCTAAGATCATTGTGCATCTTCTACTAAATCTATAGACTCTTAAGGGAAAAAAGATACATTACAGGTGTGCTGTTTTTATTTTCTGAGAGGCCCTGTAGGAACTGTGCCCATTCCAGTGAGATATAACTTGGCCTGCCGTTGCTAAAAGACCCCTGATTCTACCTAGGCATGGAAATCCCCTCCACCTGATACAGAGCAGAATAAGAAGTTGAGGAAGATGAAATTTGGATTTTAATTTCTTTGAATTTTAACCCACACAAGCAAGAGAATTTTAGCCCTGCCAGCGTGGCTCCGTGGTTGAGCATCAACCTATGAACCAGAAGGTCATGGTTCTATTCCCGGTTAGGGCATATGCAGACTTGATCCATAGTAGGGGGCGTGCAGGAGGCAGCCAATCAAAGATTCTCATCATTGATGTTTCTGTCTCTCTCTCTCTCCCTCTTCCGTCCTCTCTGAAATCAATAATAAACATTTTTTAAAAGATCATTTTATTTCCAACTTTACTTTCTTTGAAATGTAATGTCTCATGACTTTGCTTTTATTTCTTTGACATTAATTTCTCCCGAGATATTTGATAAAGGGAAGAGGATTCTGTTAAAACATTTTCCCCTCAACATTATTGGCATTTTGTTGTGCATGTTATTATTGGAAGAGTGTACTTTTGTCATTTAATCTCATTGCTGACCCTCTGATATGGTATGCGGACAATATGGATAGGCACCATATAAATGGATAATAGAAAGATGAATAACACTTCAGCCTTGGATATAGCTTGGCATGTAACAATTTAATTAATGCATATGAAAGCACTTGATGAGTGTATCTCCTTTGTTCTTGGAGGTGGTGATTTATCTGATTGGTCAATTTAAAATAATACACTGAGCATGATCAGCTTGGTTACATTCTTCTTCCTCTTTGGGAGCCAGTCACCAGAGAAAGAACAAATTCTACTTCTTGTGGGGCAGGATGCCACCTGTGTGATGAGACCTGCCCCAGTCAGTGCTGCGGGGCCTGGCTGATTAGGTTCTGTGGTTCAGTGTTAGCAAGTTCATTTGGCTTTCATGCTAAGTGAATTCTCTAGTGGCTTTTATCAGAATGAGTTGGTATTTTGGCCTCCACAGACCACTTCTTTGTCCTATGTCCCTCTTTGTACATAACTCAAGCATGGCAAGAGAGTGCATTTGAAGATACAGTAGTCTCCCTTATCTGCAGTTTTGCTTTTATGGTTTCAGTTACCTGTGGTCAACCATGATTTGAAAAATATTAAGTGGAAAATTCCAGAATAAACAATTCTTTTTTATATCTGTTTTTATTGATTTCAGAGAGAGGAAGGGAGAGGGAAAGAGGGATGGAAACATCAATGATGAGAGAGAATCATTGAATGGCTGCCTCCTGCATGCCCCACGCTGGGGTTGAGCCCACAACCTGGGCACATGCCCTGATGGGGAATCAAACTGTTACTCCCTGGTTCCTAGGTTAACACTCAACCACTGAGCCACACCAGCCAGGCACTCTCCCACAACTCTTTATGAAGGCTGGCAGCTTCTAAGGATAAATCTAGACCTTCTTAATTTCTTAATATGACTAATCTTTCGAAGAATTTTACATTTTACTTCAATTGGTTTGTTAAGTCATATAGTGAGCAACCTCTCCTTCCTCTACAGTTGCTTTCTATACAGTTTTTTTATTGTGATAAAATATGTATAATATAACATTTAGAATTTTAACCCTTTTTAAAAATATACATTTTTATTCATTTCAGAGAAGAAAGGAGAGGGACAGAGAGAGAGATAAAAACATCCGTGATGAGAGAGAATCATTGATTGACTGCCTCCTGCACACCCCCCACTGGGGATTGAGCCAGCAACCTGGGCATGTCCCTTGACTAGAATCGAAACTGGGACCCTTCAGTCTGCGGGCCGACGCTCTAGCCATTGAGCCAAACTGGCGAGGGCATTAACCATTTTTAAGTGTACAGTCAGTAGCATTAAATATATTACCAAAGTTGACAATATTTTACTAACCTGGCTTAACTTTGATGCCAACAAGGATAAAGACAGCATAAGAGAAAAAACAAGAAAATTTGTAGAGCGGGCTGGCAGGCTAGAAATTCAGGGAAGAGTGGATGTTGCAATTTTCAGTGTGAAACCTGCAGGCTGGAAACTCAGTCAGGAGTGGACACTGAAATCTTGAGGAAGATTTGCCTCTTTGGAAAACTTTATTGTTTGCTTTTAAGGCCTTCAACTGATTGGATGAGGCCCACTTACACTATGGAGAGTAATCTGCTTTAATCAGGCTATTGATTGAAAGGTAAATCACATTTATCCATTTTCATAACTTTTCCATCATCCCAAACAGGAGCTCTGGACCCATTAAACAAAAGCTCCCTACTTCCCCTACCCTGACCCC